TATATATATATATATATATATATATATTGAATTAAATTGAATTTCAGTAAATTTTAAAGTAAAATAAAGCTATTTTTCAAAGACATATTGATTTATTTGACTATGAAATTTTCATTCCTATTTTCTTATTTTAAAATTTTACTTTGAACTTTGTTTCATTTTGAAATATTCTTTTTATAACTTTCAAATTTCCTTTTATTTCTTTATATTTTCAATTTATTGATTCTTCTTTTTAAAAGAATTAAATAGTTTTTTTTCTTATGCTGTAAAAAAATTATTTATAGATTTTAGAAATTCACTAATTTTGATCTTAGTTTCAAATGATTTATTGATTCTTTAATAAGTTTTTTTTTTTTTTTAAAATCTTGTTATAGGATAAATCTTCATTTTAACCTAAGGGCACTTCATGATCAAACGAGTTTTCAAAATTTTAGAAGAGTTATCCAAAAATGAGTGAATATGAGTGAAATGCTCCAAGAAAAGAACCACTATAAGATTTAAAATTCTAGGTTCAAATTTCTAAGGCATTTCAAATCTATAGGAACTCAACTCAAGCTTCAATGATTAGAACTCAATCAACTCAACTAAAGTTTGAGGATTCAAGGTCAATAATATGAAACCAAAATAAGTTAAGAAGTGGTTGAATTTCTAATTTGTATAGGTCTCAACACGAATCCTCAAAGAACGCCACTAGGAAAATCCTAATGCTAGATCTCATATTATAGAGAGAAAAAAGAAAGATCTCATAAAAATGAGGTCAATACTACTAGCTATCCATCAAATTAAAAATTTGAAGCTTCCATTAGCTTCCCCTGAGTATGAAAATCAACTCCTCAATCCATTGCCCCATTTCTTTAACTCTCCAAACCACTTTAACACTAATTAGTGGATGGGTTTGATCCAGAGCATACAAGGAATAAATAGATCTTTCAATTGATAGTTGGACCATGTTCTCTGGATCAAGTGAAAGCTAATAGAAGCTTTGGATCAAGAAGAATCATCTCAGATTAAGGTATGTATCAAAAAATTTAATAATCATCACTTTTTTTGAATTTTGTGAAATGAATGTTCATTTCAATGGATCTTAGCCATAGAATCTATTCGTTTTTTTTAGATGATTGTTTTGGTAGGTTTAGATAGCAGATTCATTTGTGGAATCATGCAGATTGCATTAATTTTCTTGGACGACTTTGGTTCCTCATTCCTTCGGGAACAATGAACCAATGCTCTCCATTTCCTTCAAAGGAATGGATGGCTTGGATTAACACAGAGGAAGCATAGCGTGTTTCATTCCATACATCAAATCACTTAAGTTGGCAGCCCAATCATTACTCAACAACCAACAATCAACACGTGAGGTGACAGTGAAAGTGGATCTGATATGAGGAAAACATGCGGAGAACCTATTTTAAGTATCAAATTAGAATTAGCAGGTTTTAATTAAATCGCAAAAAATATATATGAAGTTTGGAAAATCCATAACTAATTCATGAAAGTTAATAAAAATATATAATACAATTTTATGTATTCAATAAAACATGAAGGTCAAGTAAAAAATAAAATTGAAACCTGACAATCTTTAACTAATTCTAAGATTAATTTAAACCTTTTAATCATCAATAAATAATTAAAAATTCAAAATAAATCAAATCCTATTAAAATTTAAGCCATTAATGAACTTCTGCCTAGTGTGCTTCCCCAATTTTTGAAACGGTTAAAACCAATGTTTAATATGGTAATTTAATTATCTTGTGTGATTTATAATTAATTGAAATAATAAATAAAATAAAAATAAAAAATAAACTTCTTTTGGAAATTCATAAAATCAATTGAGCAACAAATCTATGTTATAAAACAATATACTTGTGTGGTTGAATTTCATTATAATCATTTGGGATGTGAAAGGCATATTTGTAAAATGCTAATTTACACTCTTACCCTTTGATTTCCAAATTTTATTAAAAAACAAAGAAATAAAATTTCAAATTCTCAAAATATAAAAAACAAAGAAATAAAATTTCAAATTCTCAAAATGTGTAAAGTAAATTTTAAAATAAAATAATGGAAAAATATGATTCACGAAGACTTCAGAATGATGTGATTAAAGTAAATTTTAAAATAAAATGGTTAAAATGTGTGAGAAGATAACTTGGTAATTTCCTAAATATTGTGAATTTGAATTTTATAAAATTCTTAAAATGGTTTATTGATGCAAATTTTATATGTAATAATGTCTGAATTTTTTATTAATCATTTTATAAAAATTTAGTGGAATTAGCAAATTGAGTTAGAGTAAAATTCAATTGAAATTGAGTGGCAGGTGAGAATTGCAAATCTACCATAAAGAAGAACATTTGGGAACATTGAAAAATTGTAAAACTTGATTTCAGATGAGTATTCATCACTTAAATAGCAAATTTTTAGTAAATTTTGAAAGTTTGAAAGTAATTGGAAGCATATTTGTAGTTTCCTCATTATTGTAAATATACTCCTAGTACCCTTAAGATGCCAAATGAACTTTAATGACCCTAAATTCTTAGAAACATGATTTAAAATTGTTAATTAAGTTTCAAAAAGCAAAAAATAAATCAAATATTCTTGTGTTTAAAAGTGAATTTGGATATTGCAAAATTTCCAAAACTTACAAATATGCTTGTCGCATTATTAGGCTTAATAAATGATAATAAAATGCGAGTGTTGAACCAATCATTTGTAATAGTTCACCAACACAAAAGAGTTGAATAAAAGTAATTTCACTTTCAAATAGTGTTTTGGGTGAAAATCACGAATTTGTAGAAGTAACATTTCACACTGAAACTTCAATAACTTTCTCAGGAAAACTCACAATTAAATAAAGTTTTCACCAATAAATGAATTGAATAGGGCGAAATTCATATGTATATAAATATTTTCCATTTAATCATTTTTTTAATAATTTCTAGATAATAAATTTATTAATAAATTTAATAATTTATAAAAAAATCAAAATGCACTTAGAATAACTTGAAACATTTCAAAGTTATTTTGAATCTTATTATAAGTATATATGTAAAATTTTAAGGATTTTAGAGGTCATTTGGATTTACTAAGATTTTTTTATTAAGAACATCTTAGAATTCAAATAACTCTAATAAATGAAGAAAACTTCAAAAATTGATAAGATTTTTATAGAAGACTTTTGAACTAAATATTAATCTCCAAAAATAATTCAAAGTCAATTTGAATTTATTTAAACCAAAATATGTAAAACTCTAAAAATCACAAAATTGGAACCAATTTAACTCAAAAAAATTCATAAAATTCACAAAATCCCTAAAAGCTTGTATAAATGAACTTAAGAGATCTATAATCACTTGTCCAAGTGATTTATTATAATTTATAAGCACTAGTAATATTAAATCTTTATATATGCCTAATAAGCATATAAATGACGTCATTCAAAAACTCAAATAAAACTTTAATTTAATTAATAATATTCAAATAAGGCCAATAAAATCCAAATATGTCAAGATGAAGTCTTTTCTTGATAAAATTTGAAATCAACAAATAAAATTTAGAAAATTTGAACAATAATGCCTTTTTTTGTTCTATTCATTTTTCTTACTCACTTCCTTTAGCATCATTTGACACTAACCATAGTTTTAGGATTAGATCATGATGAGGTCAATTTGGTTTGTGTTTGTGTTGTTTTTTGGGCTTTACTCATTAAAAATATTTGTTTATAAAGAATTTTTTTTCACTAGACTGAATGTTTATGATGAGTAAAAAAAAATATTTATGCTCATTATGCATTCTTTTATCTGCTAGCTTAAGACGCTCTAGTTTCTTTACCTGTTTTTAAGATGACATAGTATGTTGTTATAGTAAACGTAGGTTTCTATTCCAACCGAGTCTTTTCCTTTTTCTAGGGTTAGGGTATCTTTCATAGCTGATCAGCTATTAACATTTGAGTCATCTGAGGGAGGATGACCAAAATGCAAAGGATGAACCACAACTAAACAAATAATGATATTCAGATGTAATTTTTTTTATCAATGAGTCTAACATAGATCTAGGGTTGGTTCACTTGATTTTGTCTTATTGTGTCTTATTTATGCTCGATAGTCTTCTTCAAAATTCATGTTGCTATTTTGTGTGCTTTTTTGCCTTGATATTTGATAGGCTCAATAAAGACTAAATTTTTCATCTAAACTAAACAATTTAAACCTAATTTTTTTCAAAATGAAATGACATTCATAACCCAAACGAAATTGCATTAAATATTACATTCACACCATCATGCATATAAAAAAATAAAGTTGACAATTGAATAAACATGAGTAGTAACATTTTTACGACTTAGAACTAGCCACGAAAAGATGATCTAGACATATGAATTGCACTAGTTTCTATTCCTTGATTTCAGACCCTCATTCATTGAACGAAAATGGGTGGTTTGTCCTATGAGGACCACTACTGTATAGGGTGAGTTCTGCCTCGATATACCGATTGCTCTTTTGAACAAATCATCTGAGCATTCATCATTAAGGACGTGCATACTCATACGTAGTTTGCTATGATCACTCGACACTAATAGTTAACCAAAATAATAAGACACTTGAGTTTGATGAGCTATAACAATTTTAAATTTTAAATTTCTAAAATAAACTCACATTAGTCTTAGGATATTATGTATACAAGTCATACTCATACATCTTGATTTTTATAATCAAGTTGGAAGATCTATTATTGTTCATAAATAATAGTTTACCATATCTTGCATTTATTGAGATATGGTCATCTAAACCACTTAAACACATTTAAAAACAAGACCGGTCTCAATAAATGCAAGATATGGTAAACTATTATTTATTAACAATAGGTTAATTTGTACTGGAGATTTGTTCAATGCCAATAGTGATTTGCCGAATTAAATTGCAACAGTGATTGTTGTAACCCTCAAGAACAAGACAATCTACATCTCACCTAAAAAAACAATGGTTAAATTGCTAAACTTTACAATTACAGGTCATAAATGCAAATCCATCATTCTTCTTATTGCTCAAAAATGATTTTATACTAGAATCCATCAAATTTATAAATATTTCGTGAACATGGATAAATTACTTATTGTCACAACAGAAAACATCACAACTTACCTTTGTAAGCCAAAATTTCTAGAAGAAATGTATGCTTCCTCCAACAGAGAAAAAAGCACCCAAAAAAAAATAAGCAAAACATGTAGGAAGAAAGAAAGAAAAAAAAAAACAACTAAAAGTTCAACTATGCTACCATCCCCACCAACTCCCTCTACTTTGAATCATCTAAAATGAGCAAATCTTAATCAAAATCCTCAATTATGTTTAATTTTCTCCATGGTGCATTATGAAAGGATTTGTAAGCCATTCCTTCCTCCTTATTAACGAAAATTAGCCTCTGAGAAACACACTGCTGCTTCTGGACTTAGTTCATGGAATCTTGGTTTGCAAGAAGAGGTTTCTTCTTTTCACCCCACGCATCCATTCTTTGTTGTGCATTTTGAACCTATCATAAAGAAAAATTACATTTCATTCGTAAGAGATAACACATAATGAAATCTTATAAAAATGTTGCATTTAAGAAGATTGATTTGTCAGTCCACCCTTATAGTGAGTTAATCATTCTAAATTCCTACTTTTACATACCTTTGCAAAGTTCATCTCATTAATTTGAGGAGGAAAAGTCGATTAAAATCGGTCTGATGTATGCTAAATAATGTTTTTGATTCATTATTTTCTTATCACATGATATACCATAATATTGGTTTTTGCAGAAAATGAAAGCCATAAAGTATTACATTGGACACAATTGTTGCCACTGTATTTATGTTTATAGGCAACAAATGTACATATTTTGCATCTATGTGGCATTAAAACTATTTTAATTACTAACAAATAAATTACCAAGGCAATAGAATTATTATTAAGGGTTATTTACATACATACCACATAATTCTCATACATTTACATATCTAACACCTAAACCTTTTATGTACATACTCAAAATCTAACACCTTAACCTTTTATATGCATACTCATTAACATTAGATCAAAAATATCACTATTAAAAACTTTTTAGAAGTGAAATGTGAAATACACATTTTCATTTATAGGTTTATTACACTAAACTATGAACTTGTATATTAAACTTTGGGTCTTAGATACGTGAAAACATACTAAATGTGTGGTATTTATGTAAAATTTCCGTATATTAAATCACTCCTAGATATGGAGTTCACCAATATATCAATAAAATTTGACAAATTAAGAAATTGATGTAATACTGAAGGGTCATTAGAGATCGTTTCTATTTTTCATTTTATTTTATTTACAACTTGATATGTTAAAAAATAGATTTTTACATTTATATTTAGTAAATATTAAATATGAAAATAGATTTTTACGTTCATGAAAATATATTTTATTTACAACCCGAATAGTAATGATCTTTAGAACACTCAGAAATAGATTTTTACATTTATATTTAGTAAATATTAATCATGAAAATAGATTTTTACGTTCATGAAAATATAACCGAATAGTAATGATCTTTAGAACACTCAGAACAACTAAAAATTATTGTGTTGAAACATATAAAAAATACAAAAAACCAAATATCGAAAGAAAAAAATATAAAAAAAAAACAAAATAATCCCAAAGAAGCCTAATTTTTTTTATTCTTTTAGTGAAAGGAGCTCGGAGAAGAAATCATATGGTGTCATTAGTTGAATAGTTAATAGAGCATTAAGATTCTCTTAGAAATGCTTGGAATAGCATTAATATGCATTAAATGAGAAAAAAAGAGCATTACCTCTGTGTTCCAATTAGTTCTGATAGTGACCCAAAGAAGAATTATAGTTTGCATGAATGTTCCCCCAATCATTCCTGTCCATATTCCCTGCAAAAAAATTAACTACATGATTTAGCATCAAATTCTTGCGATATATATATGTAATGTGATCCTCTTATTTTAGATCTATTATATTACTATGTACATAGTTACACTGCAAAAAAGCTTTTTCATTAGCATGTATGCATATAATCTGTACAACAATAACAACGACAACAACAACAACAAAAAACATCCCCAAGTGGAGTAAGTCACAAAAATCCTTTTTCTCCATTGTGT